GTGGAAAATGCGTGTATAATCTTCCACATAAACAGCGTGTTCTGAGAGTCACATGTCTGAGCAGCTCAGAGACGAGCGCCGAACCGAACGGACAATTTCTCTTTTGTTCAAACGGGGAAAGAACATCCAGAGACGCACACAGATCCGCTCTGACCTCACCGGCCTCTGGATCCATTAACGACTGTGTTTACTTTGGTTTTTGGAGTATTATTCTGATACCACCATGATCATTAAAAACTCACACTTTTTTTTAGACAATAGAAAGTGATTTTCAACATTAAATCGTAGTATTTTCTTTTATATTCCCATGTGGTCTTATGTCTGTGTAATCCCTCAGTGGTCCAGGTCAGTTCCACAGTGGTTCATGGACGTAAACTGGTCTATGTGCTCTTATACTTATACCTGAATGTCTTTAGAATGATCTGATACAGCTCAAGATCAATCTAAAGACATTCAGGAGAGATTCATTTCTGTCCTCTGTCCTGTGTGGGACTTTTTTAGTATCAATACCTGCTCAAATTCAAGTGAGAGTCTATTTTCCATACAATTTTACAACTGATTATTATCTGATAGTGGTGTAACGGTACATGTTAGGGATGGGCATGATTAGTCGAATAATCGATAATTGATCACTAAGAATTTCATCGATTACGTTAATTTTAATCGACAAACCGAATGTAGGTTGCTGTGTGTATCGTGACCAAACAGGGTCTGTACATGTGTCTCTCTGCATCAGAAGGAGCGAGACACAAACAGTCGGTCAGTCTGCAACGTACCAAAGCACAAATGCGTATTTAACGATGATTTGTACAAGAAATTCCACACTTTCCGTTGCGTTCGGGACAAGTGTGAGTCCATGTGCACAGTGTATAAAGCAGCACATATGTTTCGGTGTCCAGTGGGAAAAAGTTTTACCAGGTGAGAGTCGCTCAATGTGGATGACGAGTCCCCACCTCCCTCCCCCGTACGGTGTCCTGGTTTTGACAAACGCAAATATGATCACACTAACCTGTATTCACCTGAGTCATGTCTTTTAATCCGACAGAAGTTGAACCGCATCAGCGACACAAGAGCTGTAGTTTTATCTTCGCTGAGTTTATGCAAATTAGCGATGTGGTTTTAAGTTTCGTTTCTGTGAGAGTTGTGCAAAACTGAATTAAACACATTATAATGTCAAACGGGTTGATGTGGCTCTAGAGTCGTTACGGTTTATATGTCGTAAAGTTGAATTTATGTATGTAGGTTAGTAGTGCAGATAGTAATAATAATGATGATCATTTTAGTATAAAAACGTTAATGATTAATCGATAATCGATCGTTAATTCTTCCGACGATCGATTAAGAAAATTTCATCGAATGCCCATCCCTAGTACATGTATTCGCACTGAACCATTTCAGTACGGCACATTTGGTTCGCTGCGCGGCTTTGCACGAGTGAGTTCACGCAATTTGTGTGTTTACATTCTGCCACTACCTGTGCAGCTATACGAAAGGCTCGGCTCTTTAATATTCATGAGGGAACTCGTCCATGATTGGGGTGACAGAGTTTCCCGCAGTGCTTTATAGTTATGGCGGCCCACCACAATTGCCCCCCCCACCTTGAATATGTCCCTCTGAACCACGTGAATCCTCACAAAAGTCCTCACTTTCACCTTTCTCCAGCACGGAATCGCCATGCTCCGTATTTTCCGGGCTGTTAGACGCGCCAACCACATCAAAAAACAACTGCGCGCCCACAATCCAGAGGCCCTATACACGAATCCACTCAGGTGTCCCAGTACGACTTCAGTAAACTACAAAGCTGCACCACCCGCAGCACACGCAAACACACACGGAGCAGACAGCGACCGCACAGCGAAAAAAACACCCACAGACACACTCATCGCTCCACGCCGACGAGGAACGGAACGGAGGAACGAACCGAAAAAAGCGAGTCCAATGTGCCACTTCTAGACACGACTGAACAACTGAGTCACTGCGAACACGCCGACAATCCGTTGGTCCCAGACAGCACCCTCCCTACACGCCACAACTGAACAAAGCCCAGGGTCACCGTGAACGCGCCAAACAATCAAAACCACTGACCCGTCCAACTGTTGTGTTTCATTTAAAGTCCGGTGCGGTTTATTTGTGAAAACAGTTCGAAAATAGACCATTTAATGACAGTGCGTCTTATAATCCAGAGCGTCTAATAGCCCGGAAAATACAGTACATTTCATACATTTGTTGCTTATTTGAGAACATTTTATTTAACTTATTTGCATTTCTTTTATTTTCCCGTTTGTATAATGTTAAAACAAAGTGTTGGTTAAATAAAAACACAAATAAACAACAAGCATTGTACCAAAAATGAACTGAACCGTGACCTCAAAACCGAGGTCTGTACCAAATCATGATTTTTGTACTATTACACCCCTAGTAGTGGATTTTCGATACTTTTGACAACCCTAATAACTAGTTTTTACTTTTGGTTTTTAGTTATTATTTTGCAGTAGTGGTTTTAGTAAATGTAGTCAAAATATTCAAAAATTTGACGTCAAAATGCCAGCTTTGAATAAAAAATCTCCAAATAGAAAACCCACGAATGTTGTATTTGAAAAGTGTTGGTTCATAAAAACATTTGTGCCGTTTCTGTCACCCGAGCGAGTATAAACCGCTTTAACTGTAACAACAGATCTGCACAGACAGTCGCTCCACAGTGATAAAGAGACCGCTCCATTCAAACCTCTGTGCAAAAAAAACAAAAAAAACAAGAGGAATTACGGGACAGGAAACACTGCTGAGCACAGCTTTGACCACAAACAAGCCTCACTCTGTGTTTGAACTCATCAGACAGACCGCAACAGAGTAAAGATAACTACAATTTGTGCACCTAAACATACAAAATATACTGAATCTGTTTGCATCCACAGATTTAAAGTTGCACGATGTAACTTCAAGCTTCATAAAAACTGAATTAATCTAAAGTATTTCAATTTAAAACAGGAAAACTATACTGGTATAACAAAATTAGACTCATTGTATTATTATAAAGTTATAAAAAGAGACTACACTTGAAAAAAACATGAAAAAAAAAATAAAAAAAATAAAGTGGTTTACAATTAAATGTAGACAGTAAGTGACATAATTATGAATTACATCACAAATTTTGCTTTATTAAGACTAATTAAGGTAAATCCTGATGCCAAAAATATGTATATGCTAAAAAAAAAAAAAAAAAAGAAAAGAAAATCGTAAAAACAGACCAAAATCACTTACATGTTAGTTATTAAAGTGTTGTGCGCAATAGGGTTGTCAAAAGTATCAAGAATCGGATACTAATCGATACTAAAATCAATATTAATATAATATCGAAGCTAGATACTCTTTGATACTTTGAGCAGATATTGATACGGACAAATTTGAGCTTTCCTGAACAGTTTTAGAGTCATTTTGAGCTTTATCAGAACAAACAGAAGAGCTCATGGTAACATAAAGAAAGTATTGTTATTTGTGTATGAAAATTGCCATTTTATTACTACAAAAGAAGCATTTTTATCGTCATTATGGTGTTGCCACTTCCTTAGTATCAAAATCTGGTTTGAAATTTCAGTATCGTGACAATAAATACAGTTTTAAAGGTCCCATGTTATATGCCTAACACTGTTTCCTCCTCAAAAACAAACCAGGAGTTGTGTTTTGTTTCATTCACACATGTGAAAATGTTAAATGTGTTGCATAAACGAGTTTCCTTCCTCTAAAGCAGACATGTCAGATTCAGGCCCGGGGGCCAAATTTGACCCGCGATATAATTATATTTGGCTCGTGAGATCGTATCAAATATGTATTAGAGCTGCCCGCCGGCTACAGATAGACTATTGAGACATTATTTTTTTAAAAAAAAAATGTTATTATTTTATATTTTGCTTGTTCTGGATTCAATGTTTAAGCAAAACTATTATTAAACATTAAGCTTTAACATTACATATCTGGAAAGAAGAGAAAACATGCCGATGTGGTTGAAATTTTTTAATAAATATTTAGTTTGACCAACGATTTTTTATTGAGTTTTTAATTTTGTCCCTCTGTGAATTTGAGTTTGACTCCCCTTCACTAAACAAACAACACAATTGTAGCGCTGTAACAAAATAATTTAGTAAAATACACCAAAAAATACTCTTGGCGATATATCGATGCAGTATCGATATCACAGACTGCTGTATCATCACATTAAACAACGCGATATATTGATAGTTTGATATTTTTGCACACGTATATTAAGGAGACTCTGTTAATGATGAAATGTTGTTGTGTAAATATTAGGGGTGTAACGATATCCAAGTCTTACGATACGATATGGTCACGGTATGAACCTCACGATACGATATTATAATATTATGCTACTTTTTCTTCTTAAAATGCAAGACTTAATCCAAAGAACTAAGACTTAAAAGTGTTAGAACTGTTATTTCTTCTTGTAGTCTGCACTGAAATAGAGCAAAGGATCATGGTCTATGTAGTTATTCTGTCTTTTTTTAAACTATTGCTACACCATAACTCTTAATTTAAGCAAAGACACTTGTAATTCGATATATTGTGATGGTCCACGTTATTATTATGAGAACTTTGACGATACGATATCACAATATTTCAGTTTTTGTTACATCCCTACTAGTAAATTGTTTTTTAAATGTATTTTCCACCTGCTCAGAGATGGAAAGGAGCATTTTTTCTCTCTCAGAGTTTGACGTTTTCTTGTTTTAAATGAGCAAATAATAAAATAAATCGAATAAATCTGCAGGGTTTGTGAGTTAAACACGTGCGAATGAAACAAAACACAACTCCGGAGATGTTTTTGATGACGAGGAAACAATATTATAACATAAATAGCGGTAAAATTGGCGCTTTAAACAACAGATTAAAGTCAGATTGATTAAACTAAACACAAAGAAGTGTTTAGAGACGAGACACCATCTGTTCCAGCACAAAAAAACAAAAAAAACACGGTGTATTTCTCTCACCTGTGTGCGCGGGACGATGGGGAACAGGTTGAGGGTGGTGGGTCTTTTGGGCCGGTACGTATCCATGGTGACGGGCGGCGCGGCGGTCTCCTTGGCGACGGGCAGGGCGGCGAGCGAGGAGGACGAGGCTTTGGCCGTGACGGCGTCGGAGCAGTCCACGGCCCCTCCGTCGATCAGGTCCATGTGGAGGATCTCAGCCTGCAGATGCCCCACCGCCCCGAGCTCCGCCCCCCGCGACACGCCACTGGTCCCCCGACGCATGTGACCCTGCGGGGGATTGGACGAGCAGAGCTGTCAGTCAAACGTGAGGAGACGGGGACGGCCAATGACACAGAGAGAAGAGAAGAGAAGAGAAGAGAGAAGAGAGGGAGGGAGGAGGGGTGGACAGAGAGAGAAAGAAGACAGAGAAGGAGCGGGAGGGAGAGAGAGAGAATGTAAATAGAAAGGAGGAAGAGGGAGAGCGTGTGCGGAGGGAAGGATGAAGAGAAAGAGGAGACAGAAAGAAAAGAAAGAAAGAAAGAAAGAAAAAAGGAGGGAGAAAGAGAGAGACGGAGAGAAAAAAAGAGGGAGTGAGAGGGGAGGGAGAGGGAGAAGAGAGAAAGGAGAAGAAAGAAGAGAGGGAAAGACGAGGGAGAAAATGGGAGAAAGAAAGAAAGAAAAAGAAAGAAAGAGGAAGGAGAGAGAGTGACAGGAGAGAGAAAGAGTGAGGAGAGAGGGAGAATGAAGGGATAGAGAAGAGGGAGAGAAGAGACAGGAGAGGGAGGGAGGGAGAGAGAGAAGACGGAAAGAGACAAGACAGAGAGAATTGGAGGGAGGGAGAGAGCGTGCGGGGAGGGAAGGAGGAAGCGATGGAGGGAGAGAAATTAAGAAAGACAAAGAGGAGGGAGAGAAGGAGAGGGAGAGTAGAGGGAGAAGGGATAGAGAAGAAGCAGAGAGGGGGAGTAGAGGGGAGGGAGAGAAAGAAGATGCAAGGAGAGAGAGAGGAGGGAGAGAATGGGAAGGAGGAAGAGAGGGAGGTAGTCAAAGAAAAAAGAAAGAAAGAAAGGAAGGAAAAGAGGGAGGGAGAGGAGGAAGACAGAGAGAAAGAAGAGAGAGAAGAGGGAGGAGGGAGAGGGAAGAGAGAGTATGGGTAGGTAAGGAGGAAAAGAGGGAGGTAGAGAAAGAAAGACAGAAAGAAGAGGAGGGAGAGAGAAAGAGGGAGGGGAGAGGGAAAGAGAAGCAGGAGGGGGGAGAAAGAAGACAAAGAAGGAGAGACGGAGAGGAGGGAGAGAAAGAGGAGTGGGTGGCATGAAAGGGAAGAGAGAGAAAGAAAAAGAGGAGGAAGGGAGAGAAAGAAAGAGGGAGAGAGAGGAGAATAAGGCAAGGCAAGTTTATTTGTACAGCACAATTCGTACACAAAGTAATTCAAAGTGCTTTACAGAATAAGAAATACATTAAAATCATAATAAAAACAAATCAAAACATAAATAATCATGAAGATTAAAATTAAAAAAGAGAGACATAAATTGGAGAGAAGAGTGCAGAATGAAAACCTTTCAGTTATATGCACAGTTAAACAGAAATGTTTTGAACCTGGATTTAAACAGCGTCACAGAAGAGTCTGTCTCACATGTTCAGACTGTTCCAGGTTTTAGCTGCATGAACCTGAAACTCTGACTCCCCTTGTTTAGTCGTGACTCTGGGCACCAGCAGGAGGTCGGTCCCTGAGCTCCTCAGAGTGTGAGATGTTCATATGACACTAACATGTCACAGATGGACTTTGGTGCTCGGACACGGAGACACTTGTACAAGCAGAGCTGCTTTAAAGTGTCTGAGCCACAGGAGCCAGTGCAGAGACCTGAGCACAGGACTTATGTGCTCGTACTTCCTAGTTCGAGTCAGGACCCGAGCTGCAGCGTTCTGGATGTTCTGGATGTTCTGGATGTTCTGGATGTTCTGCAGCGTCTCACAGCTCGTTTGGAGAGACCAGTGAGCAGAACATTACAGTATCTAATCTACTGGAGACAAACGCATGGATAAGTTTCTCCAAGTCTGATTTAGACAGTAAACCTTTGATTTTTGCTATGTTTTTTAGATGGTAAAAGGCTGCAGATGTTATTGATTTGATGTGGCTGTTAAAGTTCAAGTCTGAGTCCATTATTACCCCTAGATTTCTTGCCTGATTTGAAGGTTTTAGAGAGAGAGACTGGAGGTGACTGGGGGAGGAAGAGACAAAAGAGGTGAGAGAGGGAGAGGAGTGAGAGAATGAAAGGCAGGGAGGCAGAGAGAGAGAGACAGAGACAAGGTGGGGGAAAGAAGGGAAGGGGAGAGAGAGAGGGGGTGACATGAAAGAAAGAAAAAGAAGAGGAAGTGAGAGGAGAGAGAGGAGGATGTTCAGAGTAACTGTTGCTTTCGAAGGCAAAATAAAAGTAATTTAAAAATCACTCCTTTTTCACATTAGTTGATCCTTTTTTGCATAATTTTCTTGGTGAAATCCTGCTCAGGCGTGAACAGAGACAGAAGTCAGATTACTCACAGTTTACATTTACATTTTCATCATGTGATCGCCGCAGAAATCAGATCATGATCACATCTGGAGTGTGGATGTAAAAGTAGAGCCAGTGGCGCTCGAGTCTGGAGTCAACTGCAGTTCACTGGGACGACACGTCTTCTACACTCACATCACAGAGTCTAAGTCGCACAACACACACACACACACACACACGCACACGCACACACACACACATATAAACACACACACACACACACACACACACACACACACATATACACACACATATACACACACACACACACGCACACACACAACACACACACAGTACACACACACAACACACACACACACACACACACACACACACACACACACACACACACACACACACACACACACATAGCACACACACACACACACACACACACACAACACACAAACACACACACACACACTATAAACACACACACACACACACATATAAACACACACACACACACATACACACACACACACATATAAACACACACACACACACACACACACACACACACACATACACACACACACACACACACATATCACACACACACACACACACACACACACATACACACACACACACACACACACACACACACATATAAACACACACACACACACACACATATAAACACACACACACACACATACACACACACACATATAAACACACACACACACACATATAAACACACACACACAACACACACACACACATATAAACACACACACACACACACACACACACACACATATAAACACACACACACACACACACACACACATATAACACACACACACACACATATAAACACACACACACACACACAACACACACACACATATAACACACACACACACATATACAACACACACACACATATCCACACACACACACAACACACACACACACATATATACACACACACACACACACACACATATAACACACACACACACATATAAACACACACACACACATATAAACACACACACACACACACACACACACACATCACACATACACAACACACACACACATACACACACACACACACACACACACATATCAACACACACACACGCACAAATCCTACAAAAGCTCTCAAAACTTTTCCATATCTGTGTATTTCACCCAAACTGCACTAACAGGAGTACACCTGCAGGGGGAGCTCATGCAAAAACAACTATTTATGCATCTGCCTTTGTACATTTAAATGCCAAAAAATACCAAATCCTCAGCTCACTCACTCACTCCCTCATTAACCTTTGTGCTGTTGTCCCAAATCCTTAGACCAGGGGTGTCAAACTCAATTTCACAGAGGGCCACTGGACTAAGTCGAGGGCCAAACTAAATATTTATTGAAAAATGTCAACAAATATCTGCATATTTTCTCTTCTTTCGAGATATGCAATTTCTTATTAAAATAACAATTTAATAATAGTTTTGCTTAAACATTGAATCCAGAACAAGCAAAATATAAAATAATAACAAAATTTTAAATAAATAATGTCTCTATAGTCGATCTGTAGCCAGGGTCCAGCTCTAATACAGATTTGATATGATCTCGCGGGCCAAATATAATTATATCGTGGGCCAAATTTGACCCCTAGGCCTGAGTTTGACTAGCCAGGCTGACGCCACCTAGTGCCTCCACTCACTTTCATTCCTCTTCAGTGACTAGATCAGGAATCAGGATACACTAGACGGTTCACAAAAATCCCGGAAGTGTGAGTTCGGGCACCAGCCAATCAGCGAAGAGCCAGACATTGTGTTGGCAACGATTCCCGAGATCGAGGATTTAAAGCCGGAACAAAGAGAATGTTTGGTGAATTTTATCAAGGGGAAAGACATTATTGTCCTTCTTCCTACAGGATTTGGGAAAAGCTTAATATACCAGTTAGCCTCGTAAGCGGCACATTACATACATCACGACCAAATAGCAGCGATTGGTTAAATAAAAAAGTACCCGTCTACCTTCAAGTGAACGAGTCCTAACGCTGCGAGGTCAGACGGTTTCTACGAAATGAAACCGGCTGATGAATCAGACCTGAGTTTGACATGTCTGCCTTAGAATCTAAATAAAAGTTTAATAAGTCAACCAATACAAATAGAAAAAAACAAACAAAAAAATGACAGCCTTATTCCTAAATCTTGACTTAATTTGAACCCATATCTGAACTTAACCTGATGTTGATCGAATAATAAAGACTTTACGCCATGAAGACCTGATTTGTGTGTCTATGACGAATGCAGGTCCCCAGATTTTAGTCCGCACACTGTGATAAATACTCTTGGACACACACAGGTCTCAGAGCAGCTGCTCAGGACCCGAGGAGCAGCTGCTGAGACCAGAGTCCAGTCTTAAGCCTCTTATGGACTCACTGCACCTGGATACACAATAGAAAACACTACACAAACACCATATGACGCTCGAGAGAAAACACGACCGTCCAACTCACTGTGACAGATGCACACTACAGGTCAGAATAAAACTATTAAAAACTAAAAAAATCTCAGAGGTAACTGCAGCTCTAAACATGTTTTTGTGTCTATTTTGGCCACACCAGCAAATGCAACAACAAGTCAAGATCTCAAAAATATATTAAAAAAGCCCTAACACACATGGGATAAATACTATTTACTTTCAGAATGATGAAGGTGGTTTCTGAATACTTACAACTAGGGATGTAACAATAACCGATATATTGTGACATCGTATCATCAAAA